ACTAGGTAATTTGCATACAAAGATTAAAAAGATACAGTCTAAATTAGTTTTAAAGCTAAGGCGACTACAGAAACAAATAATTACATCAATATGACAAGTGCTGTAATAAAAATGTGTATGCAAATTCTATGAAATCAGAAAAGTCAACACAACTACCTCAGCTTACAGTAAAAGCCTTCCTAATGAATATGACATTAGATTTGGGCTTTGAAGGGCATCGCCAGAAAGAAAAGATTAGGGATAATACAAAAGGTATTAGTTCACCATTTTTTTAATGACTGAGTAGTACTACATGGTATACATATACCACATTTTATTAATCTACTCATGTATTGGTGAACTAATATCTCTTGTATTAACCTGGATGGAACTGGAGATGCTTTTTCTAAGTGAAGTATCACAGTAATGGAAAAACAAACACGTGTACTCACCATTAAATTGGAACTAGTTGATCAACACCTATGTACACATATGGAAATAACATTCATCGGAAATCAATCAGGTAGGAGGGGGAAGGAGGGGAGGAGTAAATTCACACCTAATGGGCAGGTAGAGTACACACTATCTGGGTGATGGGCACACTTACAACTTTGACTCAAATGGTACAAAAGCAATTCATGTAATCAAAACATTTGTACCCCTGTAATATTCTGAAAGAAGGAAAGGAAAGGAAAGGGGAAAGGGGAAAGGGGAAAGGGGAAAGGGAAAAGGGAAAGGGGAAAGGGAAAAGGAAAGGTTAGGGAGAGTATTTTAAATAGAAGTAGCAACTGCAAAGCATGGGTCACGGTATATTCATGGCTTACTGGGTGTGGCTGGTGAGTGCCAAACAGTGTGATAAAGGTGAGGCAGAGGGAAAAACATGTTAAGGGACAAACCAGATTAAGAGAAGATTAGTGTTAGACTATGAAGGGATCTGCTGCCCTACTAAGGAATTTGGACTTTCTCTCACACACAGTGGGGAGACACTGAAGATTTTTGAGCAGGAAAAAGATATAATTAGACCCATATTTCATAAAAACCATTCCATTAGAAATGTGAATAATGATGAGAAGCAGGGAGAGTAGTCTGGTTGCTCCTGTGGTAGACTAACCCAGAGAAAACGACAGCCTGATCTCAGGCAGTAGCAGTAAGAATAGCCACATTCATCAGAGGTTTATCAAGTAAAAACATCCACAGGACTTGCATAACCCACAGATACCAAAATATGAAAAAGTGAAAAATCTAGGATGACTGAGATTTTTGGCTTGTCTGAGTGGATGGTGGTGTCATTATAACTGAAATAAGGAATATTGGCAGAGCTAGTAGATGCTGGTGGGGTAGGATTGGGAGTGGGTAAGTAATGATGGTTTCAGTTTGGATCTTAAAATCCAATTACCTGTGATTCATCTGGGCTCCTAGATAAAAGAAGTAGGCCACATGTAAATACGAATCTGACATTCAAAAGCAAGCCTTGTATACAGGTAGTAGCTGAAGTCATAAAGATGAAGATTGTCAAAGGAGGCAGCATAGCAGGGGAAGTGCACTAAGTAAGTAATACCAGGGAACCTAAACATTTAATAATTGAAGAGGAGATTGTACACCACTAAAGGTTGCTAAGAGTTGACAGACTAATCTACACGTTACCTATAGTGCTACATAGCCCTAATTCAACACAGTACCCAGATACAGCCAAAAAGAACTCAAACGTTAGCAAGTAATCTTCTTCATTCAATCTTAAATATCAGGCGTAAGTAAAAACCTTAATCAGTCCCTAACTTAAAACAACTCTTTAATGTTGCTTTTCCCTGAAGACCATGCTAATTGTGTTAATTTGTATATTCCCTGCAACAGTAACACAGTGCCTGGAAGGGAGGAGGCATAGTACCTCAGTCAATCTAGAGGCAGTTTAGACACTGAAATTAAACCTGTTCTAAATGCAGAATTTTTAGTTTCCATTAATTCTATTTGTTGAATGTAGTAATTAGGTATTCATTAATATATTGCTGTAATTTCTGACATCTACCATAAAATCTTCTGAAATCAATACGTTCTCAACACTGCAATTAAATTTCTAGGTAAGTTTATATTCAAACCCACATCTGTAAAATGGAGATAACTAAGTAGTCTTTTGACACTATCTGACACACAAGAGGTACTCAATAAAAAGAGCTATTATTATTACTGTTATGGGAGCCAAAAATGAGTCAAAATTAATGTAAGACAAAAAAGGTCCCATTTGACTTTTCTTTGAAAAATAATTGATAGCAGCTAATATTAATATTTACTATATACTAGGTACTATAAATATTTTTCATATATTAACTCACTTAGCTCTTTCGAGAAACCTTAAGAGTTAGGGTACTAGTATTACTCTTACTTTACAGAAGAAGCTGGGCATAGAAAATTCAAGTAACTTGCCCAGAGTCATACAGTAAATAAATGCTGGAGCTAGGATTCAAACACACACGGACTGGTTGCAAAGTCCATGGACTTTCACCAACTTCTACTGCCTTTTCACCACTACCTCAACTCATCAACAATTTTTTAAAATTCTACAAGCTCACGTAATTTTGCATATAATTTTAAGGGGTTATAACTTCTCAATTAAGGGGCTCCACAGACACTAAGTACCACTGCTTGAAACACAAGCTGATATTTTATCTTTGCAGAAATAAAGAAAAGTTTTCTTAAAATACAGTTATCAATAGAACAATATTGGGCTTAGAACGACTGAGCCTATTATTACCTTTTTGCTTAACTTAAAAAGTATAGATAATAGCTAACATTTATTGAGAACCAGGTATTATTTTAAGCACTATAACCTCATTCTCACAACTGTATGAGGTGGCTACTTCTATAATTCCCACTTTATAGATAGGGAAATTGAGGTCAGGGTATTTAAATACTTTTTCAGTAACAAGTAACAGCTGCGATGTACATTCCAGAGCCTGTTCTCTTTGCTACTACATTATGTTATCTCTCAAGATGTTTTATGTGCAGATGGGGGAATTCTCAGTACCACTCCATCCTAATTACATTACATAATGAACGGAAAAGCACTCTACAAATGATCAGGGGTCATGTATTTATTATCTATTAGGTTTTTATCATTAAAACTTAAAAATGATAGTGACATAAACACAAGTAACCTCACAGTAGGTTTCGGCTAAAAATACCAGGCCACCACAAACTTTCCAGTTTGGAAACTTTATCTACTGAAGTAATGTTTTCCTCACCTATGCCACCTCCAAATCTACTCTGCTATAACATAGGGATGGCAGTATACATGAGTCTTCTTTTTACGATACTAAAGTAATAGATTATTTCCCATTCTCTTCTCCTCTGCTCAAACTCTAAATTGTTGTCCCTCCCTCCTAATTACAGTAACTGAGGCTTGCACCACAATGGTCAAGAGTTCAGATACCAACCAGTTCTTCAGCCTAACTCCTCTGCCCCTTAAAAAAACAGAACAAAACAAAAAAATCCCTCCAAAAACGAAGGAAAAAGTAAAGCATTAGTGTTTAGCAGCCAGACTTCCCTTGGATAACAGATCCGCAACAGCCAACATCAAACACTGCATTTTCCTCAAGCCCCTCCGTGTCTGTCGTCCAGACCTCCCCATCGAACCCGAAATCCCTCTTCTTGCCAATGGAAAGCCGCTCAGTCGGAGGTCTCAGTTCTGCCGCAACACTCAGCCAGCCCAGGCCAGCGTGCGTCCCCAACGCCCCGCACTCGCCCCGGCACAGCCCTCGCAGCAGCCTGTTCTTAGGATGCCCGCCTACGTGCCAATCCCTCCTAGCTGCCATCGCAGGGTCGGCTTCGCCTCAGCGTTGGCGACACGTGCCTAGTGCCTGGCATCTAGGAGGCATGCAACAACGCCTTGCCCTACGCTGAAACCAAAGGTCGGGGCGCGCCCTCAGCCTTCCCTACCTGGGCCGCATCTTGCTGATTTCCCTCCATCCCCTTTTCTTCCGCTCCTCCCCTGGCCCGCTCGGGGGTATTCCGCCTCCTTTCCCGGCCCGCCCGCAGTGCCTACCTGGTGGGGTCTGCAGTCGCCCCCAACGCCGCGGCTCGCCAGGCTACCACAGTAGGTTAGCGGTCCGCGGTGAGCTGGGCCGGGAGGGGCGGAACCACAGGCCCCGCGCAGGGCGGCAGGAGCGGCCAGCCAATGAGGGGCCGGCGGCATAAGCAGATATGACGGCGGATCGCGCGACCCGGCGGTGCGCGGCTCTCCGCGGTCACGTGGGCGCCGCGCGCTCGGCCACGCCCCCTTCACCTCACTGATCGAAGGTTGGGGCCAAGGACCCGATTAGGGTCCCGAGGAGGGGGAGGGTGGGCTTTCGGGTTGTGTGTGTTTGTTTGTTAAGTGGCACTGGTGTCTGTAGTTCAGAATTATACGAAGCAGGTTTACAGTATTTATGCAAACAGTCCTAAAATGGTGCTCTCTCTGGTGACATTTCCTCCGCAAATGTCGGAGGCATTCTCCCCTTCAGCTTAGGGAGGTTTCAACATGCGTGGGACGGTTGCTGACACTTTCAACCCACATGCTGCAGCTTCTGTAACATTGACTGGCTTGAATCTGGAGGAACCGGTTTACGGAGATTGTTAAATGGTGACAAAGTGAGGATAAAGATGGACAGAGACCTTTTTATAGTGATAGTTGTTAAAAAAAAAAAAAAGCTGCCACAAATTTAGTTTAAAGCTCAAATTGGCTTTTATTTGCAATTCTTGAATCAGGGCAGCATCCCATTCCATGAAATAGAATAAGGGCTCCCATGACCTGAGCAGAGGAAGCTGGCTTTATAGGCAGAGAAGGGCTGAAGAATGCAGAAATAGTTGTTTCAAAGTTACTTTCCTTATAGGGTTAAAACAGATGGGACTGACTAGTCATGCCGGCTCAGGTAAACTGGGCCCCTTCTGTTTGGTTGCTGTGAATCTCCTGTTTTTTGGAAAACTGGCTGATTTCAAAGTAGCTTCCTTAAGTGGCATTTAGCACGAATGACTCATTCTATTATAATTTGATCTGGTCTGCTGGGGTTTAACACAGTAGCCTAGTTCAAAGACAATGGCTTGCCATAAATTTCATTTAACAAGATAAGGCAAATCTATGCAGAGTAAACAGGAATGTCTGTTTGCTTAGGTGTGCCGGTGTGTAGTTTTTATTTTTTTATGGCAGTTAGCTTTTTCAAACATGAACTACGATGGTCACACTTGTAAATCAACCTTCCTGGGAGCCTCAAGTGTTGTGGTTCTGAAAGTGGGGTCTTCCAGCCAGCAGCGTCAGCATCATCTAGGAATTTACCAGAAATGAAAATTCTCTGGATCCACCTTAGACATTCCAGATCAGAAATACTGGGAGGCCCCAGTATCTGTGTTTTACCAAGCCCTGGAGTAAGAGCCACTGCTCTAGTAAACTGGGCCAATAAGAAGAAAATCTGACCAGTCGTTCACTTTTGCTCCTTCCAAAGTGATAAATAAAAAATACCAGAAAGTAAGAGATGTCTAAGTTCGGGAAAGATAATTTCTATTTCCTTGTAGAACTATCAGAAGTGCTACAGTATAAGGAGAGAATTTATTAGATTCCACTTATTAGAGCAGTCTATATGAGTATTGTTTTAAATATCTGTTGCTTGTGTCCTACTTTTTAAACCACATTTTTTCTCTTTTGTTTCCATTGTTATTTCATCCCATAATTTTTGACACTAAGATTTTTACATTCATTTCTAGGGAAAATAAAAATGTGGCTTAAAAGATATTTACCTCGTATAAGGGTTCCACATTTGTGGCTGCTGTAAGATAAATCTTGCCTGTGTGGTTTGTTTAGTCCACAACTATTTTTTTCCCTGTATCAATGGAAAAGTACTCAAACTATAAATTAATATGAAGAGTTTGATTCTGAGCCAAATGAGTGTGACCATGGTTTGGAGAGCCACACCCAGGAAACCTTGAGCAAATGGTCCCACTGTGGTTTGGTTACAGTTTGGTTTTATACATTTTAGGGAGACAGGAATTATGTGTAAAATCATAAATCAATACATGGAAGGCATACATTGGTTTGTCCCGAAAAAGCAGGACATCTGGGGGTTGGGGGGGATAAGTATTGTAGGTTATAGGTATATTTAAAGATTGTTTGATTTATAACTGGTTAAAGAAATGAAGCGTTGTCTTAAGGCTTGGAATGTTTTAAGTTATGATAAAGATGTCTGTTAATCAGAGACAAGCCACCAGACATTTACTAAAACTCAAGTGATCTGTTAAATAAATGGATGACTTGCAGGTGTGGTTTAAGCTTTGTCTTGCATGGCTTTAGGCCTGTTAATGATTTAGTATCTTATTGTTATAAAGAATAACTCCAAAAGGGAGGAGGTATAACTAGGCAGGGCTGACCTCCCTTCTCCTCATGGCCAGTAACTCAGCTTTAAGGTTTTTCTAGGGTTCACTTGGCCAAGAGGGGGTCCATTCAGTTGTCTGGGAGGCTTAAGATTTTATTTTAGTTAACACAGGTTAAATTTTATGGGAGGCCATTGTTTTAGAGTGATCTCCTTTCCTGGACTCCAACAGACCAGACCAAACCAAAAGGGAGTGACTCATGCAAAGTTCCACATAATTACACTGAAACTTTAAAGAAATAGGTAGATCCCCAAACAGACCAATGTTTCCTAGAAAAGGGAGATTCACAGCAACCAATGCAAAAGAGCTCAGTCAATCTGAGTCATCAAAATAAGGAAGTCTCTTCTGCTCTAACCCTTGCAAAAAAAGTGACAGAAGTAACCTGATGTTAAGCAATTTACTTTTTTCTATTGTTCTGTTTTTTTGTTATTATTGTTACCACCTTACAAAAAACAAAACATTCTGTCATGGCCGGCAGAGCAGGAATTCTGTTTTATAGAATGCAGTGTTGCCCGATTCTACAAATGCAAATAAAAGCCAATTAGATCTTTAAATTTGTAATTCTGTCTTTTGATATCCCCTTTACCTTGAATTAATTGCACATTAAAAAAAATTGCAGACTTCTCTTGCAACACTGGAAAATATGACAACATTGAGTCTAGTTTCCTGCATGGGAGTAGGTACCTGAAGCCAAGTTGGCATTCCCTTTTAAATAGCTCATGTGCCTTTCAGTTTGGTAGAACCACCACAGCTCTTTATGGTCTTCCCAAAGTAGCTAAGTTATGCTATTTCCTTGGTTACTGCAGGTGTTTGAGTGTGTGCTTTCTGACCTATCATCTTGATATTTGGAAAGAAAAGCCACTTTGCCTATTAAGTAAATAATAGACATAAATAACAAGTGATAGAAATAAAGTATTTTTAAGGGGAAAATACATCATGATCCAATCTGCCTTTACCAAGACATTTCTGGTAGTTAAACTTCAAATGTGCATGGGATATTGCAGGGGTGGAGAATCTTTTCATGTTGAAAGGCCACATTAATTTAGCTGTAATCAAATAAGGGTGCATTCAAGAAACTTCAATTAGATATACTGAAAAATGTACATTATTTTGTAAAAATCTAACTACTGCATACCTAATAATTTCAAAAAATGAAAACTATTTGTCAAATCCCAATCACCAATGTGATGATATTAGGAGGTAGGGCCTTTGATAGGTGATCGATCATGAGGGCAGAATCTTATGAATAGCATTAGTGCCCCTGTAAAAGAGGCCCCAGAGAGCTGCCTTGCTCCTTCTACCATGTGAGACACAACAAAAAGACAACCATCCATGAGCAAAAGTCAAGCCCTTACCAGATATCAAATCTGCCAGCACCTCGATCTTGGACTTCCCAGCCTCCAGAACTATGAGAAACAAATCTGTGCTGTTTATGAGCTGTTTCATCTATGGTATTTTTAGCAGCCTGGAAGGACTAAGAGAGCCAGAATTATGAATTTTTCTATCTAGCTGGTGGATATATTGGCCTTGTGTAAGTGTTGGGCCCCGTTCCCTCTAATTCTTTTGGATGGTCTCCACCTCCCTCCCCCGCCCCAGCCTTAGGTTCATCAGTACTAAAGGAGGACCCCGTGCAGATCTCTGGGATTCTCTCTCTTTGCAGCTCTCTCCTCACCAGTACTCTGCCAATGAACTTTAGCTGCCTTGGTTTCTCGATAGTTTCAGCTCTGTCTCCTCAGTTCAGAGAGTCTACTGGCCTCCACTTTAGTTCTCTTTCCCTGCATTGTAGCCTAGAAACTCTATCAGAGCAATAAACTGTAGCAAAAATTTGGGGGCTCATTTGTTTCTCTTTTCGCAGATAATGCTGTCCTTCGTTGCCTGATGTCCAATATCTTGAAAGCTATTTTTTAACTGTATTTTTGTTGTTTCTGTTGTTTAGGGCAGGAGGGTAAATCTCATCCCTATTATTCCATCTTGTCCAACTGCAGAAGTCAGAATTAATACTCTAAGCACTTTCCTATACTATCTTCTACAGTATGAAAAAAGTACATACATATTTCAAAAATATATGGCCATCTTTATTGCCATCTGTGGGGCCCTGATCCCATGTTACGGGGTTGCAGGCAGAAACGGAAGGAGAATTTTTCATAAAGACCTCTGTGAATTACAGAAGTAGAAGCACTGTTGCTTCAGGGCCATGTGGTGACAAAATGAGACACATGGTGAGAAGTGAGGCAATCTCTTCATTTCTTCATAGAACACAGTCTGACAGCAGTGCATCGAGGACTGACGGGCATGCTGGGCCATTTAAAAAACTTTTAGTCTATTTTTATCAAAGATGTATGTCATTTAACAATACAAGTAATATATAATAGCTCATAAAGGAAATAAAAGCAGTGCCTACCTCCTAAACCTGCTCTGCAGAGGCAACTATTTTTTACAATTCTAGCTATATATTCTGCCATTTACTTCTATTAAAACAAACAAAAAATAATCATCCTTGCTGTGCTGTTTGGGTATTTGTATGCTTTTTCACTCTGGAGCCCTGGGATTGAGAGTCTGGGCCAGGAACAATGCTCTTACAGAAACCTGGTGATGTGACTCCCTTAGCAACAGCAGAGCACAGGGTTGTTCACGTGTACATATGAGGCACACCCCAAAATCCCTAAAATAACTGAGGGAGGCTTTGTGTGGGACTATTGGGTAAAGGAGCAATTCATCTGTGATACTTGAGC